TTACCTTCTGATCGGTTAGAAGAGCAAAATTTAAATACTTCTGAGAAAAAGAAACATTTTTTTAAATAAAAGTGTATGTTATTATAGGCTTACTAAATTGCAGGTTTCTGTTTGCCTGTAATTGTATTCAGCTTTCATCTGCACAGAAGTAGGCTGAGCAGATCAGAAACCTGACTTTAATTTGACACAATTTTAACAGATTTTGTCTAGATTTAGCATAAATGCAGACACAGTAGAGCAGAGACTTCACAGAAGTGCCAACAGCGAGGATCCAAATATCAGGTTTTCCCTCAACTGTTTAAGCAAAGAATTTATACATGAAATCAAGATGTAGTTTTACAAACTTTGTGTAAGAACCTATGTTTGAAATTATTTTCAAGAGACAACATGCGCCAGTTTAAGTCCAATGTATAATACATTAAAAAAGTCCTAATCAAAGCACAAAAGTTCTCTCCAATGCCAGACAAGGACCACAGTAAAGGGACTGAGAGTAAGTCATGAGGCTCAGGAAATACCTGGAGTGACAACACGAAACACAAGAAACTGGAGACAGGAGGAACCTCATGGGACTCCCCAGCAGATTCTAGAGTATCCCCAGGACTCCCTGCATAGGTACCAGGAAGTACCAAGAGCTAGCTGAGGAAGGAAATGGGAGGTAAGCACTGTCTTTGAAGCACTTGCAGGGGAGCTGCTGTGCCCTCTGGGTCCTTATTCAACAATTCCAGAACACAAGCAGGAGAATTATGAGCCAAGTCTGCAAGTTGTGCTTGTACTCAATTCTATTCCATCAGACATCTCAGTCCCAGTGTCACTGGCAGAGTGCAGAATGTGCAGTGGATCACTGACAGTTGGCATACACACAATCAGGAATACTTTTATGAGTGAGCACAAGGTGTGTTATAGCTACTCTGGGAGCACACAGTGAAATTCCTTTAGTACAGACAAAGCTGAACAGTTAATGAACTCTAATGCAGCACAATGGGAAATGCATGAATCACTTCGGTACCCCTAGTCCAGCGGTGGGCAAAATGCGGCCCGGGGGCTGGATGCGGCCTGCCAAGCCGTTCTATCCAGCCCACAGGTCCCCTCAACAATTTAGAAAATTAATATTTATCTGCCCCTGGCTGCCTGTCATGTGGCCCTCGATGGCTTGTCAAAACTCAGTAAGTGGCTCTCCGCCCAAAATAACTGCCCGCCTCTGCCCTAATCCATGTTTACATGGTAAATTTACCATACCTGGCAGCAGTACCCTCAAGCAGCCTATACTCCTCCAGCCCAGCTGCTACTTCAACCAAAAGCAATGCAGTCATGTCCGCATGGACTAACTGGTAGGGCTGTGCGAAGCTTCGGTCCCTGATTTAATTCAGCGGAGTTCAGCCTGATTCCGTGGCCAAATCTCCAAATCCGAATCAAATCAGAGGACACTCAAATCTCTCCAAATTGAATCGGAACCCTCCAAATCGATTCGGAAAGATTAGTTGATTCAGACGTAGACACAGCTTTAAAAGTTTTTTCTACATACCTCTAGGTAGCAGGCAGCTTGTGAATGCTGTGATGCTGGGGCGCATGGAGTGTCCCACAGAAGTGCAGGGGGCTCCCCAGCGTGCTTGGCAGCAGGCCCAGAAGTGGACCAGAAGCACTTCCGGTCCAGTACAAGTCTGCCGGGGAGCACACAGGGGGCCCCCACATCCCCCCAGCTCAACAACTAGTGCCCCTGCGGGGGGGGGAGGGAGTGCCTGTGTCTGAATCAGCATTGAATCTTCAGATTCAGCCAAATCGAATCAGGGCCAGTGATCCAAATCAACAAATCTAATCACTGTCCCTGATTCGGGCCGAATCAGAATCAAATAGGGTCCACTTCACACACCCCTCCTAACTGGCACTGGCACTCACCAGTCCAACCAGAACAGTGCAACATACTTGAGAGTCCTACTGCCAGGCACTGTAACCTTACTGTATAGATATGGTCTTGAAAAAACAGTCTAGTACAAAATCAGCAATGAAAAAGGGATGCTAGTGCACCAACTAAGTACCTGAATATCAATAAAACTATTACACGCACAAAGCAAACTGAAAGAAATCACTGAAAAAATGTTAAGTCTCTAATTTTTTGGATTTAGAAAACCTTATGGAGTTAATTCCAACAATACTAGATTTCAAATACTCATACAAAACTGTGATTTAAATTTTATCTCCTCAAAGTTAAAAGTTATCAAAAATTATCAAAACAGTATATATAAAGGAGTATCCAGATTCAAAAAGAACAACACAAAGATAAATGTAAAAGTGCTTTCTAATGAATTAAATAAAAGCCTGCATGTCCAAATGATCTAACACAAAAACACTGGTTTCCTCAAGTAGTATAGCTATTGGACCTTTTCACCCCTTAGACCTATGTTCCTCAGGTGGAAGCAGGCCTTATTCCTCAAAAATAGGACTCCAGACATATGCATGTATATACACTGCCAAGGAATTCCATACTGTATACAAGCAAAATAGTTGGCCCTTGCCTTAAAGAACAGTACCAATGCGGAGCTTCATTTTACATTTCAACATCCTGATTCTACAATATAATGTGTTCGGGGCAGACAGATTCGTAAGGGGCGCAGTGGCACAATCGCATCCTCATTTCAGACTAAACTGTGGGAACAGCAGTCAGAGACTATTTATTAAGGCCCAGAAGCAGGTAAACCTTACCACCTCTCTATGTTCAGTAACATATCCCCTCCCCTCCCATTCTCCCTCACATCCCCACCTGCTGCTGCCCCTAGCTGAACAGGGGGTGAGGGGAGTTCCAGAGCCACTCCTGGTCCAATCTAGCCAAGCTGCATAGGGAACCTGTCTCAGCTGGGGGCAGAAGTGGCAGCAGCAGGGTTGGGGGGAGGGTTGTGCTGCAGAGAAAAGAGGGGAAAAAGGGGGGGGGGGGCAGGATTCTTTGGGGACTTTAAAAAACCACTGACCACTGCTCCCACAGTAGGAGCAGGGGAACCTGAGAGCAGGGAAGTGCAGCCAACCTGGCAGCACTGTTTGCTGTTCCTACACCCCCATCTACAAAATCCTGGAGCGGCCTGTGGGTATGCTTAGGTCTATCCAAGTATTGTTTACTGCAGGATTGGTGATTAAGACCACACGCAACTCAGGGAGCACTAATGCAGAAGATCAATCCCTTTTGAAACCACTACATGCTACACCGGCTCGAAGTCTAGTCAATCAGGGCGTGTGTAGATGAAAGACTGGCCATAAACTGAACTGGTGGGTTTTTAAAAACACCGCTTCAATTTAGGGCCCTTTAAACTTCCGTGTTGTGCATACACCCCGCTGACTTACCTGCCTCTCCAGTGGCGGGGTGGGGAGAACGAGCTGCCAGCAAGGTGGAGCAGTCCCTGGGCTGTGGCTTCCCTCTGTGGCAGCAGCAGTCCCACCCCCAGAGGTGGCAGCTGCCGGCAGGCACCCAGATTGGGCAGTCCCAGGGGGCACTGCAGCCGCAGAGGGACGCCCCGGGCCCCCACACAGCTCAGGCAGGCTCCAGGGGAGGGGGGAAGAAAAAGGATCAGGCTCGCCTGCCTTCCCGGGCTGCTGCCAGGCTGCCTGCAGGGTTTCCTGCAGAGCCCCATAGCTTCACGGAGCCCAGTGCTTTGCTCCAAGTCATTTAAGGCACATTACACTGCCAAATTTACTACAGCGGCTGCAATTAATGCACAACACACCACCAATGCATACAAACACTGACACCATTAAGTAGTGAAAGAGCATTTAGTCCACTTTAAAGCGTTGTGCACACATGGCCCTTGTTTCGTCTACACACGGCCTCCGACACTAAAAATGGGGCAGTAGCTGACAGCCTGTTTATACTGGGGCACCTATGCTGCCACATCCACTGGCACTAATATAAAAAAAAAGTCACAAGCCAAGCAGCCACTCAGGCTAGTACAGTTGAGGCACACCAATTTGTGTAGCCAGTGGCTCAGATGGATTGTGTCTGGCCTTCTTCAGCTTCCTAGATCGAATAATCAGGTGTCCATTTACAACTACGTCAATTGGAGGCAGCCTATGACACTAGTTTGGAGCAAGTTTTGAACTCGCATCTCTGGAGCCTTAGCAAATTGCCTTACTGTTCTAAGGCCCTCATTGGCATTAGTAAGATCTGTAAAATGTTACAATGATTCATCTAGAAGTGGTAAAAGCAGTTTAAGAGTATGAACAAGTATCACTGAACCAGCTGCTCCCAAATAAGACTGCAGTTACAAAGTGCATTTTGGTCACAAGTAGGGGTGATGGCAAGGTATGGCAGGATAAGTAAAGTGTGCTCTCAGAGTGGGTCTGCACAGCAAAACAGAAGTGTGATTTGCAGCTCAGGTGGGCATACTGGACCCTTTTACTTTTGCTCTGGGGATGGGAGGGCAGCGCTTTAATAAGAGTAGCTCCGAGAGCTACTCTAATCAAAGCACCACAGCGTCTTGTGTCTCAACATTACTGTGCTTAAAAATGGTGGCAGATGCACTTGAATTAAAGCTCATCCAACAAGCTTTAGATGAAGCACCCCTGCTGACATTTTTAAGTGCGGGGATGCTGATACACGAGATGCAGGAGGATGCTGGAGCTTGGTAATTACCCCGCTCCAACAGACTCAACTGAGTCTGCTCAGACGTGCTGTAAGTGGTGCCAGCTTTAACCTGGCATGTGTAAGTAATGGGGGCAGTGAAGATGCAATAGGGCGGACTTCAGCACAGGCCAACAGCCAGAAAACAAGCCCCTCCCGGGTCATTCTGCCCTCACTGCTACTGCTGCCCATTTCTGCTACATTAAAACCAGCAAGGGCACCCGGTCCGCACCGCAATGCCACCTCCCACCCGCTCCACAGCCCTGCCTGCAGGCCTGCAACCCACAGATGCTTCCCACAGGATGTGGCAAAACATACATCTACAAGGCAGGGCAGATCTGCATCTTATAGCCTTGCAGACTCTAGGCAGCCCTCAGGAAAATGCCAGCTCTTACTTGCCAGCCAGCTACCAGGAAAGCACCACGAGATCCTGTGGCAGAGCACACCTGGGCAGACAGCAGGGCAGGGGGCTTCAACGCTCAGGGTTCCTCTGGGAAGCCTCTGGGCTCATCTTATGAATCAGGTTCCCGCGCCCGTTGCTGCTGACACCCCTGAACGCGTCTCCGGGCAGCCCAGGGTGCCGGTGCCACAGCGCGGGGGCCGAGTCACTGCTAGAGGCTTGAAGCCGGAGAGCGCGAGGGCGCTGTGCGCGCACCAGCGAGCACGTGTGTGGGGGGGCACGTGTGCACTGCACATGCTGTGTACATACATAGCCTGCCCCCCCCCAGCTCTCCCGCCCACCGCGGGGATCCGTCCGGAGGGGGATGCCGAGTGCTGCGCTGGGCGGAGGTGGGGGCAGGCTCCGGCCCCCCCAGCCCGCAGCGCCTGCTCAGGGCGGGTCCGTCTCCTCCTTACCCGGCGCTGGAAGCGGGGGTCAGGGGCTGCCT